GTAATTTCCTTAGTTCAGTAACTCAAAAAAATAGTCATCTAGTACAAACTCTGTTCATAAGGGAATAAACTGAATGGGGTTTTTCACAGAGTGGTTCTTGTGAGCCTACAGAGAGAACTCACTTCACATTCTGACCTCTACAGAGGTATGTGCCATGTGCCAGGACTCTGACACTGACCACAGAATCACAGAACCATGGAATGGTTTGGCTTGGAAGATCATCCAGTTCCAACCCCATTGCCATAGGCAGGGACACCTCCCACCAGCCCAGGTTGCTCCAAGTCCCATCCAATCTGTCCTAGAACACTTCCAGGGATGGGGCAGCCACAGCTTCTCTGGGCAACCTAGGCCAGGGTCTTACCACCCTCACAGTGAAGAATTTCATTTGTGTCTCCCCATATTCTTCCATTCTCCTACATCTCATACTGCTAAATATTCCTCCATAAACTGTAAAAGATAACTAATGCACCTCGATAGATCCCTCTTTGAAACTCGGCTTCATGGTGATGTTTACAAAAAAATTCAAACAGTTTAGACTATTACTATTTAGTCTATTAAACTATAATTTAGTCTATTACTGTAATTGACCAGACAAAGCAGAAGTGCTTTTTCCCATTTCTTTATACCACCCATTTGTATCCATCATGGTTTGTGTTAGGACTATTCTCTGGAGCAAGGAGTGTCTTGTCTCCAGAACACACAGAGTCTCCAACTCAGAGACTCTTTGCCTTAGTCACATGCATTTTTCAACACTGGAGAAACTAATTTCATTTTAATTAATGTATTCCATTTGATTCCATTTTGATTTCATTATTATTAGATACACAGGAAGTCGAACAGATGTGTATTAGCTTGGCCCATTTATCAACTTCAGCAAACAAAACAGTTGAAGGAAACAAAAAAGCATTGAAGTCCTTTCAGATCCACACCACTCAAAGCAGCAGACACAGGAAGGTGGGATGCAGCTCTGCCACAAAGAGAGCTGTGGATCATGCTTAGCAACATGGACCAAGCACAGCTTTTGTCCTTTGGGTCAAAACACCCTCTTAGCCCTGGTTGGCACACGTAGTCAAGAGACTTTACAACCACAAAGGCTCTGAAGGCACCACTTCAGATCAGGGTTGTATCAGCCTTTATCTGAAGTTGTTTCTTAAAGGTGTTGACAGCCCAGCACTGATGTGAAGAAAGATTTGATCTTTCCCTCTGATTTAATTACCAACCCAGAAGCAGATTTTCATAAAGATTTTACCTCATAAAGACATCTTGCTTCTTCCAGAAGCAAAAAACTGGAATTCTCAACCAATGTTAGCAAAAAAGACATGCCAGTGGGTTAGTTGCAGAAAAATGGAAAGTGGAAGGATAAAAGTATTGCCAGGATACCAAATACATTATTTCTAATTATTGTGATATTACATTTGTTCCACAGGTAAAGCTGTTAGTTGAAGTACCAAAAAATAAAACTCTGAAGAGCAGCTTCAAAGGAGGAAGGTGGCTACTGTGACAGACAGACCATGCCCAGGAACATTTTAGGAGACTGAATTTTGCTTATCAGTTTTGATACATTGTCAAAGTCACTGACAAGTACTTACCTGCAGAGCCATTTTTAATTAACTTCTTTTTTCTTCAACAGAACTCCATTTATACTTACAGCTTCATTTCACACAGGGCTGCTCTGTACCAAGGAAGTGCTACCAGTTCAGCACAGCACAATCTCAGTTTTCAGAATCCATCAGCATCCAAAGCCTCTGTTACTGCTCTACTTCACTAATTGCTTAAATAAATGACTGGTCACTGTTTATTAACACACACAGCAGAATCCTAATAAGCCTCTCCTTTATAAGATGATACCAGGTCTTATGAATTTCTCAAATTGAACAGACAACAAAAAGGAAAAATCTGTTCTAAGGCATGAGTAATTGAGGCACAACTGGTAATTAAACCAAAACTTTTACAAACTTGACCTTTTATCCATGAATGCTGAGAATTGGTATTGGAATTCCCCCCCTCCAGTAACAGATGGTTTGTAATAAATGTTAGAACTGCACATGAAGAGCCTACTAGCAGTTTATTTAAATATCAAATTTGAGCATTTCCTGGCACAAGACCTCATCCCTGTCTCTGACTGGAGTGTTTTGAGGTTAAGTAAGGTTGAATCTCATTACACTGGACAGAAGCAGTAAAGAGTTTGACCTGTTTCAACTATCAGGAACCCACAATTTGCCATTCTAAACAATAAAAAGTTATCATAATTCCTATCATTACTTTTTAAATTTATTAACTGTTAGACACTTTTTTAGACTTATCTCTATGGTATAAAGAGTTAAGAACTTTGTTCAGCTTGTCTGTCCTCTCTTCTGCATCCTCCAGCTCTTAACAAAAGCATTAGATGTCACAGGAGACTGAAAACAATAACACTTTACTACCATTTGAAAATGCTTAAGCTTGGGATAAGTACATAATGCAAAACAGGCAAAAATCCTCTGCAAATATCAACATTTCTGATACTTTAGAAAAATGTTGCTAATTTTTGTGAGCATCTTTTTTCCCCCTTTTTAAAATATTTTTTTTTCCAAAGAAAAAAAGAAATCTGATTATAGGGAGGAGCTCAGCCAGGTAATGTGTATGAACAGTCAGAAAAACTTTTCATATTGCAGAGGCTTGGAAGCTCAGAGCATGTAATACCCTTTACTGAAGCAACACTCTCCACTGTTCTATAATGCGTTTTCATCACCTGCAACATGAACATTTACTAGGTTTTTAAGGGAAAAGGAGTTAAAAAATTGCCAAACATGATGATCAAACTGGTATGAGGCAATGTTTCAGAAATTTTGTGACATTACATATCATATTAAAAGATGACCTTTTCCAGTGCCTGTTTTCTTGCCCCGGGGAGCAATACAAGTCACACTATTTCTCCCAGTTGTTTATTGGATCTGGTTATTGCCACAGTTTCTACATTGAAGTCCCACTCCTGATAAATCATGACCTACTTAACTGACATAATTACAGACAGTATTGTAGAAAGCTGATTCATGAGGAATAAAACACACCATCATTCCTATTGTTCTTCCTTAAATTCACTGTAACTGCATTAAACTCATATTACTGACTATTGTACAGAGCAAAGAAATAAGAATGAAACTGATTTTCCTGGTGAGAAATAGCTTCCTTAGAGCTAGCAACTATTTAAACCTCAAATGACTCTAAGCTCACAGCAGGTCTAGTGCATTTCAACGTGTAGCTATGTTTTAATTTCCTTAAACCACAGGACATGTCACAGTTCCAATAGTGTCTGCAGTGAGATATTTTGTGCTGATAAATGATACAGTTTTATATCCTCCAGTTTCCAAATGCATGGTATCCCCCAGGAATTCCACAGAACCAATAAGATGATGCTCCTTTGCTTTTACAGGGTTAGCACCTTAAAAGGCAATAATTGTGATTTTTGCACTTCAATTAATTTGCACTTCCTTCTGAATAACAAGAGTATCTTGAACACTGTTGGCCTCCAAAACCATTTCCTTGCTTCCTCCTACCTTTGCCATTTTTCTCTAATTTCCTCTCACCAATCTAATGATGATTCTAGTTGCTCAAGACACGATGTGCCAAGTGTTTAAATCTCATTAAAAGCTCTGCATTGATGGTGACAGGTACTCTTTTCAAAGAGCATCCAAGCCCTGCTCCCCAGTCTACTTCCCGCAGGGCTGCCTGCACAATCTCTAAAGAACATTCTTTATTTGCAGAACTTAATTCTGCTACCAAAACTTTTAAATCGATATCTGTATCTAAAAATGTACTTGAACCTCATTTTTGTAGTATTTATAATTATTATCTTAGCCTTTCATTTGACCAACCAAGTCACTGCATAAATGGTAATATGCACAGGATGAGAAAGAGTGAGGAACTAGAGCAGCTTTTCCAGAAGTTCACAATCCTCCTTAAGTGTTCATGTCCCTTCAAATTCTTTTAATTTCTCTACATCCTGTCCTTGACCAGCTAGAGAATGAAAACTACTAAACCACAGCCATAAAAAATAAAAAAGAACCCAGCAGCTCTTGACAGCTGCTCCAACTCAGACACAGGTAAATCTGTACTTCGATGGCTCAAAACAGACCAAGGTTTTACATACTCCTGAGCTTAATCACTGACATCTCTGGATAATATCACAGGTTTTCTCAACTGTTCTTCAGAGGGGCAAGAGAAAATTTCAAGATGATGATATTCAGCAATTGGCAACTAATGAAAAAACCTAATCAGTTTTTTGTTTTCCACCCACGCATCACAGCAAGTGTTCTCTAACATAGCTCCCCTGTGCCTGGAATCCACTCACAGAATCAATAGTTAAAGCAAATACAGGTATTATTATTTTTTATTCCATTTGCCTGTATTGTTTTATAGTATGTATTACATGCTGGACAGTAATACTTCTGACCATTCTGTGCTGGCAAATCCTTAAGTACCTATTTTATAGAATGCAAAAAGCTACGTCCCATCTACTTCAAGATGTTGAAGGTGTTTCTGATGTTCATTGTAGTCTTTAAATTCACTGACAAATAGTTAAAACAAAATCTACCACTTTGCTCCTTAACAAAAGCACTTGATGCCTTTAAGCTTCTCCATCCCTTTCACTTTCCTGCATTGATTCTAATTTCCTTCCTTTGTGCATTCATCAAACTGGAATCTAAGGGAGGAACAATTATTGGCCAGACTTTGTTCACGCACAAAATTGCAAATGTAATTAGCTGAAAGGCAGCAACACGTGCTCCTTGAACTTCATATACATAGTCTGTAAAATAATGTACTTAAAATTTGTATTGCCTATTTTATTTTAAATGATAAAACACTCTGTGTGCTCACACTTGCTGGAGGAGCTGTGATTGTGACTTCTATTTTTTCTCTTTACGGATCAGATTTCCATAATGCTTCAGCAGCAGAGGATACCAACACCTTATCAAGCCAAGACAGACAATTTACAGACCTATCATTGCTTGTAAACTTACCTGCCTTTACATCCTGGTTGAATCGACAGTATTTTGAATGCTCGAGCAGGGGCAGACATTGCTCAATAGGAGTCCAGACGTAGGTCTCAGGGCACAACAGATCAGAGGGCTTGTACTGACACTGGGAAGGAAAAAAAGGAGGAAAATAAAAGATAAAAAATTAGTCATATTAGTTGCACAGGAACACTCTGGCTACAACTTTCCAGATTTTCCTATGAGCAAGGAATAGTTTTAATCTAATCTACACCAAATGAGTCAGGACCAGGCTTTCTCCTGTGCAGGAATTTCAGCACCATCTCAGGAACACAAACTTAACCTTGGCACTTGAGGAAACATGATGCATTTTTATGGTATCCACAACGAACTACACGAGTTTTGGCTTTGCTGACTGAAACTCCATATTTCAGTTATCCTCTGGAGTTCTGCTGAGCTGGTGCAGACACTAAAAAACTCAGCACCTCCAAAAGCAGCTTGTCTCAAGCATTGCTCATTCTAGCAAATAATGGGGGCCCCCCAAAAAAATCCAACAGAATAAAACCTCCTAGCAGTAGGCAGGATGCTATTTTTTTTGCATTAGTGATGGAGTATTTTGTTCATTGCTACTTAAATAGTTACATTTTCTTTTTAATATATGGAGTTTTTCCTGGAATAGCTTACAGGTAATTAATAGTGAAGTTCTACTATTCTTTATTGATTTATTTAAAAAGTATTCTTTGCAGACATTTCCAGAGACTAAACAGCCATAATTATTTTCCCTTTAGCTACACAGAAAATCACCACCTCAGCAATAATAACCTCCTCTAATCAGATCTTCATTCTATTTAAAATAAAATTATTCATTAGCCTTTAAGTTCAGTCAAAAACCCATCTTTGAGCCATCACTCCTTTAAATCCATACCCTTTCAACATTCAGAGCCATATGGTGGAAACAGAAAATCAATTTAAAACTGAAAATTCATTTCACATATCAGCTTGAAAAACAGCCATACAATAAACAGAATGAGAAAGTTCAAGGATCTCAGTTACAAAGCTCTTGAGGCAACAGTTAAGGACTAGGGCTTATAAGAAGTGACACTGCAGTGGATAGAATGAAGAATTCTTCATATCAATTCCTTCAAACAGGTAATGAAGGTGACCATCTTGATATTGATTCCAACACCTGCTATGAAAAAAAGGGCAAACTGGTCTCAAGTGAAGCTGACCAGTGTTTGGGAAGTAATATAGATGAGTACTGTGACTACTGCAGTCTGGTGCTAGAGACATCCCTGAAAAGCTGCATTTACAAGCTCTACTCTTCTTCTTTGAGACACATCTTTATGCAGCAACACCCAATTTCAGAGAATCAGAAGCAGCACTTTTTGAATGTTTGCAGAGATTCCCAATTCCTTTCATTTGCTTACTGTTCAGACACTGGCCCAGGATGCCCAGAGAAGCTGTGGCTGCCCCATCCCTGAAGCGTTCAAGGTTTGGATGGGGCTTGGAGCAACCAGATCTAGTAGAAGGTGTCCCTGCTGATGGCAGGAGGGTTGGAAGTAAATGAGCTTTAAGGTCCTTTCCAACCCAAACCAGACTGTGATTCATTCTGTGATTAAATATTTAGAGTAGACTTATTTTCTTTCCATTTTATTTCCCACCATCTGTAAACTGTTAAGTAAGAAATAGAAAAATTATCTCCAATAAAAGCCAAGTTACATCTGTCTGCATGAAATAAACCAAAACAGCAACCGAGCTTCATGCTGAATCTTGTCAAATACCTGATGTATCTGTCTAAAATGAGTTGGTATATCTCTAGTCTTTTCATTTGAGAAACATCCAGAACTGACTAGTAACTACCGTTGCTGTTGTTGCTTTTTTTCTTAATTAGATGCAAATTTCCATAAGAAGTTACAGCAATATTCCTCCAATTCCAGGGAAAAACTTAAACCTCAAGACCTTAGAAAATCCTCTAAAGCCAGAAAATAGAAATGACATTATTAAATAAGCTGCTTTGAAATGTCTTGCTATCTAAACATAAACAGTTGAAAGGTATGTGAAGGTAATGCTTACAGAACACTTTCAGTCACCATTACTCAGATGAAATAATTTAAGGACTTGGGGAAAAAAATATATGCCTTTCCAGTCAGATGTCAAAAAAATATATAAAAAATTAGAACATAATCACTTGTTGATTTAAAGACTTTTTCTCCACTGGCCAAGAAGGCAGAAATGGCCAAGCAACCATCGTTCAGAACTGTCACTTAAGCACAGAAAGGACAAGGAGTCCATTTAGTCTTCCCTAGTATGCTCACAGGTGAGTAAAGATTGCTCAGCCAGCTACAGTCTTCCCAGCAGATACTGCCCCTACATCCTGAAATACCTCACATCTGTCAATCCCACACCTGACAACTGTACCACTACCCAGCCTTATTCTAAATTTTCCAGTTACTTCTTGTAATGTCAAATTCCGCCAGAAAACATGATGTATAAAACCAACTGCACAGCAGCATTACCTGGTTGGTTATAATAAAAAAGAACTTCTTCAGTACTGAGCAAAACAGTAATGGGAGAATTTTATTATTCCAGGCAATGCTTCAGTATTTATTTTAGGCCTCAAAACACCCTCCTTAGGAGGAAAAAGGGAAGCTATAGTTCTGAGTTAACTTCCTTTAGATGTTTAGATGTTCCAAAATTCAGAATCTTGTTAATAAACTTCCCTGAAGATGTTTGAGGCTGAGGTGATGACACATTGGAAAGAGGTACCACTGATGAGTGACACAAAGTGTAACTAGAGGTAAAAAATGAAACAAGCCATTTATGCTGTTCAATGTCTTCCCTTTAAAAGAGTATTTCCAAACATACTATAAGATATTTCTTCCATAAAGACATTTTATTTAATCTACTGGTTAAACCTTCACTCCATGACTCATTCTATGGAGGAAGTGGGAACATGGAGACATCCAGAGGCAACTTTCCTAATGAACAGTGTTGGCACTGTCTCTATATTGATAGATTTGAAAAGGGAATCCACAGAGTTTGTTCAATGAAACACAATCATTTCAAAGGGGTTTCATCCTTCTTTTTATTTCTCCCTTAAGACCTTACTCTCAATTTATTTACTTTCTTAAAAATGCTAAGAACTCAGCATGAAAATAAACAATTAATCCACCTACCTCCCACCATTCCCTTATTCCTAGACAGTGAAAAAATCTGAATGTAAGAACCCAGCCAGATTCCCATGTACAGCAGCATCTGCACTTCCAGAAAAATATTCAAATTTTATTATTCACTCCAAAACTATTACATCATCTTAAAAAAATAATTGCCTCTAAGCATACTATTTATATGCCTTCCTGATTCACAGCATACACCCAATGTAACTCTAAAACAGAAAAGGGATCTCCTGAAAGGGAACTGCTGCAGAACTGTTTATCTCAGTAGCAACTTCATCAGGTTTGTAAAACTGTTATTGAGATTCATTTCTCTTTGGATTCAGTTTAAATTAGCACACATTTCACACGTAATTCTGTCTACGCTAAAATTCCACAACTGAAAACACTTTGCTTTCTTTTCTCTCGTAATAAAGCAAGCTCTTGCACAGTAGCACTGTTTATGCTGTCCAGACCCTCTTGGGAATACTTAACTACAAGAGTTTCAACAAAAAGTATCATCTGACAGACCATCCCTAAGCACTCGTCTCACGTTTCAGCTTCTTCACTCTGACACCACCTGCTGCTGAAATGCACTGTCTTGTACACAGCGACCCCACATATTTCTGCTTGCACACCTACACTTTGTTGAGAAATAGCCAACAAGGTGTAAAATGTGCTATTTTGAAATGTTTTTGAAAATTGGAAAAAAAAACCCAAAACATTTGTCTAAAATGTCATCAGTTTTCACACTGTTTACATTTTCAGGGACATTCAGAAACATCTTACTTGAGATGGAATATTAACACATTTTGAGCTGTGGCTTAAAAAGTGGCTTAAAAACCACTGCAGGTCATACCAGATGTTCAAGGTGTACTCAAATATCCCATCTCTGGCAGTCAACAACAGGAAATTGTTGTCAATCTCAGTCAAGACTCAAAGAACTCCGTAAGCTTCAAATGCTACCCTACTAAGACTAAGACTCTTTGCAATACAGACCCTTTCACAAACAGATAACCTGAGTAAGGATGCATTTTGCCATTCAATAATCCTAAACAAGTGCTTTGACATACTTCAATTTGCAAACTGCAGTTCTGTTTTATGACTATCCCTACCTCTGTTACAGAAATGCAGTGAACAATCATTTTATTACCATACCATTCATGACTTGACAGTCAAATATGGCACCTCCATCAGTCTGAAGGGACCTAAATTCTTTCCTGCACCCTCTTCCCTCTTCAACCATCTTATTCCACCTGTCCTCTTTCCAATTTTCTCTCCTTTTAAACAGGGGGAGAGGACCAAATGGAAAAAACATCCAAACTGCCTTGTTCAAAGAGCAGGAGAGCACAGGACATAAAAAAAGATATAATGAAAACCAAAAGAAAAAACCTGACCTATCAAATGGCTTGATTAAAAAATTAGTAAAGCTGAGGAATTCCTGAGTATGTGGTTTCTTCTACCAAGTCAGCTCATTGCAATATAAATGTGACTTTGTTCAATAAAAAATACCTTCAAGAGGTTTTATTTTCACTTATGTTTGGGGCATTTTCCCTCCTATATAATATAAAGAGCCTTTAAGATACTCTCCCTTTTACTATCAGACATGTTGCCTTTTAATTGGAAACTTCTGGAAATAAATTTTACAGTGAGGCTGCCAAGCCTAAATTAATACTTCACACCATGATATTACTTGTTTTTGCAGTTTCCAAATCAGAATCAACCAGAACTTCTCTGAACTTTTGTTCCACAGGAAGGGCAAAGGTTTTAGGGAGACTTCAGTCTGGAGATTACTTTTTAAATATTTTGTAAAATCTGAGGGATTTGGTAAGCACTTGAGATGAAAAACACCAGCAGTGTTTGTTTTTGCAGTCTAAGTAAAATCTAAAATGTTCAAGTACTAAGAAAGAGAATAGCCTCAAAACTGAAGAAGGTCAAGAACCAGTAGCACTGAAAAAACAAAATAGGGAGGTTAAACACACATTTAATTCTTTTA